GTGGGAACCCTAGTGCATAGCACACTGCTGTAGCACCATGCTCAATAAGTACTTGTTGTATAAATCAATAATAGAATGTAGAAATCAACAAAGTAGAAACATAGGGACTTGTGCCAAATCACAACTCTTGAATTTATTTGCCAGTATTCTATAATACTTTCTGGTTTTGTCTAAATATGTGGAAAAAAGTGGTTTTGTTTTATTTGACGAGTGCTCATTGCCTGGTAGTAGCAGTAGGAGCAGGAGGAGTAACAGCTCACATTCGTTGGGTCTTCAATTACGAGGCACTGTTTGAAGTGCTTTACCTGTATTAACTCATCTAATCTTATAACAGCCTATATAGTGGGTGCTGCTATTGTCCGTATTTGACAGATAAAGAAACTGAGCTACTTGCCCAAGTCACCAGAGTTAGTGGTTGAAACCCAGCCATTCCAATATGAACCACCTTTAGGCACCATGCTGTCTGAATGAGATAAACAGGCCCACTTGTAGCCCCTCCCTATGAGCGTGTCATGGTTGACTCTGTTTGTACAACAGGGAACTGCTAGTCTTCAGCGTTTAGCTTGGCAGCCACCTTACCCCGGTGCGAAGTCCATGTCTCCTGAACTCCATTTCCTTGCGTGCGTCTTTTCGTTCAGATCCTCACGGTTAGTGTTTTATGACTTGGGGAGCTTGAAGAGGCAGCTGTATTGTTAATGTAAAAGCCATTACCACAGAGGTTTCTGCTCTTTTTCAGAACCTCATAATTTGTTAAAAGTTCTGGTTTGGGTTTTCCGCACATCTTATTGCTGACAGTTTTAGCAGTATACGCCAACATTATCGGCTGTCTCTGGGGTACTGATTGAGATATAAAGGTTTCTGTAATTGTCTAAGATCATTTGCTGCTTTATGTAGTACAGCTTGCTCATGTAGGTACACTCTACTTCCAAGTGATTTTTCTGGCCCCAATGGGCTATAAAATCATTTGATGCCGCTGTAACCTTAAAGACAACAAGATATTGGCTCTGAATCGTTTGCTTTTGTTAACTCACGTTTTAAGGTTGCCTTTGTACACTGAGAAGGGGAAAATGGTAAGCAGGGATTCTTTTGCTAAATTGAAGAAAATAAAGGGATGTTATTCTCGTCATCACTTCTTTTTCTTGCTGATATTAATTTTCAGTGCTGTTCTTGTAAGCTTTCTGCTATAAGAAATTCTTTCTCATTGGAAGCATGGATATTAGAAATTTTTACAAACAGTGGATCATGGCCAATATCAAAAGCTACTCTGACCCAAGTTTTTCTTAAGCTGGTAACTATTTGAAAATTAAGCACTAGTCCAAGGCCACACCGTTTCTTAGGGCCCAAAGTGAGGCCAGACTCCTGGTCTCCAGACGTCCAGTTCAGTGCTCTTTCTGTTGTTGCACATCTTCAGAGTTTCTTTGTTTGAAATAATGGTCAATATTGCACCTTAGGAAGAAAAGTTAAAGAAAAATTCACTTGGTAAAAGCAAATTATTTTGAGAGCTCGAAGTTCTCACAGACATAATTCCCAAAGAATAACATGCACACAACCACAAGAGTAGCTTTCCAAGAGCCTAGCAGAAAACTGGATTTTATTTTCTAGCCAAACACTAGACTGACCTAAAGTCAAAGTAAGAAAAAAAGTATATGCTATATATTTGCATGCTCTTAGAGAGTTACTACATAGAGAAACTGAAAAAGGAGTAGTAATCTCTAGACTCTTTTATATTTTTTTGTTCTCAATGGAGTTAATATTTCAGTATTGTGTAGGATCTGGTTTAAAAGTCCTATGGTCCTTTATCATGTCCCCCTAAAAAATTTGTAGTCCATATTAGTTTGCTAGGGCTACTGTAACTAATACAAACTGGGTGGCTTAAACAACAGAAATTTGTTGTAGCACAGTTCTGGCGGCTAGAAGTCCCAGATCTAGGTGTCAGCAAGATTGATTCCTTCTGAGGCTTGTGAGGAAGAGTCTATTCCATTCCTCTACCTTAATGTCTTAGTCCATTCAGGCTGCTATAACAAAATACCATAGACTAGGTAGCTTATAAACAACAGAAATTGATTTCTCACACTTCTGGAGGCTGGGAAGTCCAAGATCAAGGCACTGGTAGATTTGGTGTCTGGTGAGAGCCTGCTTCCTGATTCATAGATAATGGCTGCCTTCCAACAGGGTAAAATGGTTAAGGGATCTCTTTGGGGTCCGTTTTTTTTTTTTTTTTTTTTTTTTTGTGAGGAAGATCAGCCCTGTGCTAACATCTGCCAGTCCTCTTTTTTTTTTTTGCTGAGGAAGACTGGCCCTGGGCTAACATCCGTGCCCATCTTCCTCCACTTTATATGGGACGCTACCACAGCATGGCTTGCCAAGCAGTGCATCGGTGAGTGCCTGGGATCCGAACCGGCGAACCCTGGGTCTCCACAGTGGAGTGCGCGCACTTAACCACTTGCGCCACCAGGCTGGCTTCTCTTTGGGGTCCCTTTTATAAAGACATTGATCCCATTCATGAGGGCTTTGCCCTCATGACCTAATCACCTCCCAAAGGCCTTACCTCCTAATACTGTCACCTTGGGTGTTAGGATTTCAAGATATGAATTTTGGGGGTACACATTCAGTCCATAGCACCTAGCTTGTGGTAGTTTGCTGACAGGCTATGGCATTTCTTGGTTTGTAGAAGCATCATCCCAATCTCTGCCTTCATCTTTACGTGACATCCTCTCTGTGTGCATGTCTATGTCCAAATTCCCCTTCTCTTATAAAAGGACACTAGTCATATTGGATTAGGGGCCCACGCTATTCCAGTATGACCTCACCTTAACCAATTACATTTGCAACAATCCTATTTCCAAGTAAAGACACATTGTGAGATACTGGTGCTTAGGACTTCAATATATGAATTCAACCCATGGCACTGTCTATTTAAGAAAAGGTTAATTCTTGGATTAGCTACATCAAACAGGAAAAACCTAAATATTGGCAATGTGGTTTACCATCTATCAGGAAAAAAAATGCAAGTGGCAAGTATTTACTTTAAATTAATCATTTAATACCATTTAAATCCATCATGTACTTTTAAATAAAGTCCTATAATCCAAGATCACACTACCTGGAGATTAAGAATATAAGAAATTGTTTCATCACCTTGAGATACTACCTTGATTTTACAGGCTTTCCTCTTGTCCATTTTTTTTCTTAGCAGGACAAATATTTCATTTCATTTCAATTAACTGAATTCTTGATAAGTTCTTGATCCTCAACTTCCAACTCCAGTTTATTTAAAAGTCATTTAGAAGACAGCACTCTCTAACTCCTCCTAGGCAGGTTATTATTCCCTTTTCTATGCTCTCACAATTAAGCACATGCCTCAGTTGTAGTACCATTGCATTCATTAAAATGTTTTTTTGTTTTTATGCCTGACCCCTCCATTAGACTGTGAGTAACTTGAACACAGATATTGTCTATTGTATTTATAAGACAGTGTGTTATTTATTTCTCCAGTACCTGGCATAGTGTCTGGCACATAGTGCTTGGGATACTTTAAGCATCCAATAAGAGTTCACTAAAGATGAAACCAACATAGAAGAGTTTAAAGACATATCACTTTAGAACTAGAAGAGGTCCCACATCAAATTTTATTTAATATAGTTTATACACTTAGTATCTGGTCAATGGTTTGTCAATATACACAAATATAGAGTAGTAAATAATTAACCCAAATTAGTATTCATCAAGCAGGTATTTTTAAGGATAATAGAAAAACCAACACTTATTTACAGTGTAATCAATATTTGATAGATTCTCAGAAGTATAAAACATATGGTCTTTTGAAACCCTATGAATGATTTTTTTTGTCTAAACATTATAATTAGAAAGTATTTCAGATTGCTTCAGATTTTAAAACTTTTGGAAAGTCCTTATCATGACAATTTAATTTCAGTTAATAAATGATATTTATTTGAGTATATCCCATCTGCTACTTTGTAGCTACCTTGACAATAACTTTATCTTTCTTTGGACTTTATAAAATATCAAACTGCTAGTTGGGGTCCCTTTAGGCTCCAAAATTCTATTATTCAAATATATATCCTACAATCATATATTGTGCACTTGCTATATGTCTAGCATCTGACAAGAATTTAGGATCTTGATTGAAAGATGCAAATTTGTTTGAGACACATTGCCTCCGTGGGACCACAGGGTGGACATGAGTCAAGACACATAAGAAGGTGACGATTACACAAGATAGCTAAGTCCTCTAAGAGGCACAGAGATGGTGGTGTGGGAAACCAGAGAGCTCTTCTATATGCCTGGGAAAGCCAGAAAAAGCTTCACAAGAGCTAGGAACATTTGACCCGTGCTTTGATCTGTGATTATTGAAAGGTTACCTAAGTAAAAGAGAAGTTAACTTTCCTCGAGAAAGCCTACTGCTTTAAATTTGGTTGACACTTTAAAGGGGTGGTCAGACCCTCCATTTTCCACTTGACTTTGAATTGACAGCTGAAAGGTCGGCAATTTCAAGGATTGCAGAGCCCAAATGAAAGCACCAGAGGGCCTCCTCCCACTCCTCAGCCCGAGAATAGGCAACCCTTCCTTCCTGGCTGAGCTCTGGATAAATGCCAAGCCTAGAGGGCAGAACCTGAATTTAGAAGTTTGGGATCCAAGGAGGGCTTTTGACTGTTCTCATGATCCAGAAGCTCAGGGCAGATTGACACCACGGAGAAGCATTTTCAGAAGCAACCTGGGGAGGATGGGGAATGGTCAGGGCAAGTTTCTTTGCACCATAGGAGCCATTTCTTCCCTCCCCTTATTAAGTCTCTCCACCCCTTACAGACACAGGAGTCACCAGATCTTTGATTTCTACCCACTTAACATTTCTTCCACTCAGGCTTTTCCCCTAAGACAAGAGAAAAATAGCCCAAGTCCTTTTGCTACAGAGCAGGAGCAAAGTCAGCTTTCCTCTCCTCCTTCCACTGTAGTTCAGTGTAACATGATACAGGATCACTGGTCAGTGAGGTAAAAAATGAGGTCAAACGGAAGTGAACCCAAATACATTCAGAGGGAAAGAGAGAAATAGAAGGGAATGTCCATTCATTTAGTAGCTCTGAATTTCTAGGTGATTTATCATTCATTCATTCACGTGTTCACTCAACTAGTATTTTTGAGCAGCAACTATATGCCAGGCACTATGCTAAGCACTAAGCATAAAGTATAAGCAAAATAGGAACGGTCTTTTTTCATGGAGGCTGCATTCAATGGGGAAGATGGATAATAAGATAATCACAAATTGTTATAGGTGCTATAAAGATGATAAGGGGGAATGTGACAGCGAGTCAGGAAGTCGAGGGGACTTTAGATGGGGAACCTGGGAAGGCTTGTTGGAGACAATGACATTTAAGCTGAGAAATGAAGGATGAGAAGGAGTCAGCTATGCAAAAAGTCAGGCAGAGGGAACTGCAAACAGTAGATAACATGAGCTATTTCATTCATACCTCGTAACAACTACTTGAAGTATGTGTCATTATTCTTCTTTTAACCAGCAGGAAAATGGAAGTTAGAAAAGAAGAATAATACACTGATCAGATTTGTCTCTTGTGTATTAATAAACAGATTTCCGTGGAGGGATGCTTTTCAGGCATCTTGCCTGGTCACATCACTTTCTTACAGGATTATGAAGTTCTTTTACCTATCTGAGCCTTAGTTTCCACTTCTGTAAATGGAGCATAAAAACTCACCCTGCAGAGGAATCTGGGAGGATTAAATAAACTAGTAAATACTTAGCACCATGCTGAACTCAACAAATGCCCCATCAGTATTCACTTGTTCTCTTTTTGCCTTCTTTTTCCAGGGTCAGGCTAAAAGACACCATAAAGTGTCTGGGATAGGAGGTAATTATTTGGTAACCAGTGTATTTCTGAGCTGTGAATTGTGGGGTCACCTCAATTTCAGTTCTGCCTAATAGTGCATTTAGTACTGTTAAAGGTCTGAGTGATCCAGTGGCCTTTAATCGTGGGCACAGTTATGTAGGAACACAAGTGCCTTTCAGTGAACAGAGGGCTGACCTGAGAGCTTAAGTCGTGCTGGAAAGAAGTCAATGGTACATTGCATTCTCAGTCGCCAGTAAACATTATTTGTCCTCCGCCCAGCAGTGGAAACACAGAGCAGAGCAAGCCCAATCATTTGTTTTCCTTTTCAGCTATCACTGAAAACCTTGAATTTCTTCTTAACAGTGTCTTGGGGCTCTGTTGACTGTAATCAAAATTGATTAGTAAGCTTCTGGGGTGCTTGGGCTGTTTTAGTAGCAAAGGTACACACAACAGTTCTGCTGTGGTACAATACCGAACAGACAAAAAGAGAAAACCGCTCCATATAGGCTTGAAATTAATGAATTGTCTCTCTTCCTTGGACCTGACATTTCCAATAAAAGGTGGTGGGTTTGGTCTTATGCCTTTGTCTCTAAATTGAACACTGAATTTACCCACTGACAGACTTAATCACTATAAACATTAGAAGATGTTTCCATCAAAGGACATAACTGCTAGAAAATAGAAAAGCTATAAAGTGCATCTTTTTAATAGCAAAATAAAAAAGGAAAGGCAAAGTGAGGGAAAAAGCCCTTATCCACTGCAAATCTTTTTGAAAACAGTCCCCTTCCCCCTCACCCTGGCCCCTGGCCCCATCCAGATCTGCTCTCCTCTCAATCCCCACTGTCCAAAGACAGAAAGCTTCATATCACATGTTTCTATTGAACAGCAAATTTCTGATTTATGAAAAAATATTGGAAGCATTAAGTTAAAGTTCTAGCTCTAAGGGCTCATGCTATGATGTAGTCCACCCTCCCGTTCTTCCTTCCTCCCTTCTTTCATCCTCCATCCTTCCTCCCTCTCTCCATCCCTCCCTCCCTTCCTCAAAAAGTCTTCTGCTGCTCATTTTTATAAGCCATCTTCTGGTGTCCCTGGGGGAAATGTACCCTTTGGCTTCTAGCCAGAGGCTCATATCTGAAATATAAACTAGGGCAAAACTAGAATTGAGGAACACATTTGCTCTTTTCAAAGCTAGATTGACGACTGTTATCATGGTTTTTTTCTCTGTCTTAATCCATAGACAAATACTATTATTCTTCCTTTGAATCTTTGTGTGCAGTTTTCTGTAGGAAGAGAGAATGAAAAATTAGACAAGGTCCCATTTTCCAGAGAGTTTATAGCATACTGAATTCAGGAAATCTATGGAGAAAAAGAAAATTTTATAACACACTGATTTCAAGATGTCTGTGGAGAAAAAGAAAATTAGCCAATAAAGTAGTTCAATCATCCCCCCTTATCTGCAGGGGTTATGTTCCAAGACCCCTGGTGATGCCTGAAACCATGGATAGTACTGAACCCTATATATACTATGTTTTTTCTTATGCATATGTACCTATGATGAAGTTTAATTTATAAATTAGGCACAGTAAGATATTAACAACAATAACTAATAATAAAATAGAACAATTGTAACAATATACTGTAATAAAAGTAATCGTAGATCTTAGCAACCTCAGCATACAATTTTTTTTCTTTCCTTATTAAGTCGAAAACTTTCACCTTTTCCCTTAAAGGAAGCACTTTATGGCTTCTCTTTGGCATATCTGAATTGCCAGCATCACTACTCTTGTGCTTTGGGGCCATTATTAAGTAAAATAAGAGTTACTTGAACAGAAGCACTGCGGCGATACTGCGACAGTCAATCTGATAACCCAGATGGCTACTAAGTGACTAACGGTTGGGTAACATATACAGAATGGATACGCTGGACAAAGGGATGATTCACATCCTGGGCGGGACAGAGTGGGTTGGTGCAAGATTTCATCACGCTCCTCAGAATAGTGTGCAACTTAAAACTGATGAATTGTTTATTTCTGGAATTTTCCATTTAATATTTTCGGATTGCAGTTGACCACGGTAACTGAAACTTCAAAAGCGAAACCGTGGATAAAGGGGGACTACTCTATGTCCTCACCATAAAACAGTTGTGCCCCAGGTGCCAATAGGAATTCACCTGAGAATGGACAAAGAACTGTTCTGGCTCTTGCAGCTAGAAGAAGGCAGGGAGAACTCCTGAGGGGCTGGGCCCTAAGGGCTGGGTGGGCGTAAATGTAGGAAGTGTTGAGAGATGGAAGGATGGAGAGGAAGCAGAGAAGAGGGGGAAGGCCTTACCAGAGAAGGAAAGAACTGTGCACAAGGGTCTTTGCTTCATGGAAAGGAAACTCCATGCTCCATTTGGAATCTGCCCAACAGAATGGACAAAAAGAGCAAACTTCATATGGCACATGGTAGATTTTGTGAGGCCTCTGCCACACATGTGCCCTGCATCTGCAGAATGAAGGTTGTAGCACCTAGGTGGAGAATTGTTGGGAATGACCAATGAACATAATTTGAAACTCTCTTGGCTAATATGCCATGCTGGAAGGCAAGGCTGGCCCAGAGAGGGACAGGCTACCTCTCAATCTCACCCCATGAGGGATTTCCTGGTAGGACGGGCTCCTTGAGGAGGAAAAGGATTTGGGTGAGGAATCAGGAGATTTACTCAAAAGCTTACCAGTCAGGCTGAAGGGTGCATATAAAAGGGAACATTGTTTTCAAAAAGTCCACTCAGCCCTGAACTTTCCAGGATGGAAGGTCAGCACACCGCTTGCCTGTGTGTCTGCAATAGGACACTCAGCACCAGCAGGTGGCCCGCCTCCTCCCCACCACCTTCTGCCTCTGATGTCAAATCTAGCTTTAGGACCTCCACAGCTGCTGGAGAGTTCAGGATGCTTTGTTGATAAAGACATCTAGATGCTGAAGACTAACAGGATACCAAGGGATTCATTCTAGTAAAAATGTACCTCCTGGGTCTGAGTTAAAACATAAACCGTCTGCTAAAGATTACAAAATATCAACAACAGAAACCCCATAGACGCCACAGATTCCACGTCTTTTCCTTCGTAATGTACCTCACACCAGACACGATGCATTGCATTGGTTTGAACGTCATTGCATTCATTCAGCAGAAAATCCATTAGGTTTACCATTAATGTGGGACTGCGCAGGCTCTAGGGGCTGTGTTATGCAGTTGAGGCTGCAAATGGTTTTCTTTAATGATTTGCATCATCTTCATCTTCATTGTTCCTGCCCCCCTGCTGATGTTTTTCTCATTGAGATGGACGAATGCTTCAGATAATGAGCTAACATTTAGTATTATGATTTTGTTACACTTTATTACCTCCTTTAGCCACAACAATCATTATGTATTAGGTTTGGTGGGTACAGCAAGTATAGCATCAACTATGTCGCTCAAACAATGGCATAAACGGGGAGAGCTGCCTCAAGTTAAACTTCCTGCATCGCCATAGTGCAAATTTCTGGGTAGTGGTGGGGAAGAAAAACTCTTGTGGCTTCACTAGGGCTTCCAGTATTTTAACTAGAGCTGGGATTTTTCCTAAAACCAGTGGATTTTTTTTAATGTGGGTGGAGGAGGGAGGCTGCCTTTATTTTCTATTCTGCTTTAGCAAACCATTTAGAAGGCTTATGCTATATAAATCCTGTAAGTTTGACTTAATAGGATAAAAGATAACTACTGATACTGTACAAGAAGAAAGTGAGGAAAACATTTTAAATTGTAAGAGTTATTATGGTGAGGTGCGCTGGTCAGCCATAAGGGCTCCCACTTCTCTTGAGGAAACTAACCGTATAGAAGGATCAAAACTGGCAGGATACTTCCCACCTTGAATTTTTTTAATTTAGTCATGCATCTCAAACAGAAGAATAATGAAACAATTGATAGGTTTCTGGTGGCTCTGAGGCTGCTGTATTATAGGAGTCATCAGAGCCCCCACTAGGGTTGGTCCCAGGCCTGGTCCCTGCTGTATATTCAGAATGTTCAGGTCCCAGGCTGTATATTGCCTATTCTGTGTAAAAGCTGCCCTTTGAGTTGTGCAGTCGGCAGCCCTGCCTTTTATGTAGCTGACAGAGGACCTGGTTCCTTCACCTGGATTCTGTTCTCAGCTCTGCTGTTAACTAGCTACTTGGCCCTGGGCAAGTCATAGAACCTTAGTTTTACCTTATCTATAAATATTCCCTATAATCCCTCTATTTCTAAAATTATCTCATACTCATTTTTTTTATTCTCTAGCTCTCAATATTATTTGAGAATTTTTGAATATGGATTTCATAGTCATTACCAATATAGTACATTGTAAGAAATATATATATATATATTTATATCTCATCAAGGAAAGATGTAATAGAAACAAAAGCAAGCTGGAAGTGTACTTCAGGAAATCCGTTAAGAACTTTAATTCTGCTAAAGCTTTGGGTGCTTATTCAGCCCTCTTGGAAACACAGTTTGGAGTAACTTGAGATTTAATACCCACCATGAGGAGAAATACCGTGGAAATAACCATTTCTAATTCACTTAGTTGAAACAGGAAATGAGAGTTCCCTAGCAGTAAGACAAACATGATTCCCTTTCCAAATCTTAAGAATTCTGATTAGGACTAGTTTTATCAAAGAATGTTCTTGCTGACTTCTCATACATCTTCTTCCATCCCTTAAGCCCATCAGTTAAAACTGTTTCGTGTTCGCTGGAGCTAAGGCCCCTTGGGAGCCTTTTAATGGAGGTAGATTAGTATTCACTTTAAAACAAAAAGACTAAATGATGAATGGGTGTGTGTTGGTATAAAGTGATTTGGGGAGGTTTTTTTGTTTTGTTTTCTGGAAAATAACAGAGTTGTTGGGAAATATTTCTAACAGAAATGTAAATACCATGTTAACTATCTGTTCCCAGTTTTTTCCTCTGTGAAAAAAGGGACAGGAGAGAACTTAAAATGAATTATAAGTCCATGAAGTTAGAGGTAATTACAGGAATAATTCCCTCCTTGCATAGGGTTTAAAAGACCTGAACTTGTTGCCCTAGAAGGTTTAGAACTTTTCTTTGTATAGATTTTCTAGAAGGCAATAAATTTTCCCCCTCTGCTTTGATTGCCCTCCATTCTAATCAACCTGCAAGAAGTAACTTTCACACTGGTAGCGTCCCTGGTTACACCTCCCTCCCAAGGCTGATGGAATTGCTTCCTCCTCTGTCTCCATAGTGCTTTGTACATACCACTTTTATAATGACTTAGAAATTATATGATAATTTTGTGTGTTTCTCTAGCTACTAGTCTGTGAACTCCTTGAGGATCAAAGCCATGCTGTTGACTTTTATATTTGTTTTTATTTTTTCTGTGCCTGACAGATAGCAGTACTCAATAAATATTTGTTGAATTGGATTATAATGAGTATTTTTATAGATCAAATAGTTCAAATGAAGGAAACAAGCCCAGATTTGATTAACTCTCAGGGAAATAGGCACAGGTTATCTGTGCTCCTAGTTCATGTGTTCTCCCTCAACCCTGGGTACACCCCCACCTTTATCCTCATACTTTGGAATAAGTTCTACTTCTTCCTTCTTTGGTCACAGGGGAAATAAATCTGATAAACCTACTCATATTCAGCTATAATTTACTTAAATATGTTTCCCTTGAGTGACTTAACCACCTCTGTTTATTTGAGCTCTGAATAATTCTTGGTTAGGCTTTATAACTTTCAGTAAGGAGTTGACCTTGTGGGAGGTTTGAAGGTTATAATCATGTACTTGACCTCTCTTAATTCTAACCATTGAAAATAGATATAAAGAGCCGTGTGGATATAAAAGCATTATTAATGGAACCCTAATAGACTTCTAAAGAACAAAGCGCCCTGCTGAAGTGGGATTGGATGACACAGCTTAAACAGGAAGCTGAAGTTGGTACTTCAGACTTACTTCTCCATACATCAATGAAACAACCACCTACAGGAAAATTTGGATCTACAAAATTGACTTTGAATATATTTCCTCCCACCATGCCACCAAAATGTCACTGGAAAAAGTCACCAATGGCCTCCTAATTATCAAATCCAATAGTCATTTCTTTGTCGTTATCTTAATTGATTTCCAATTGTTATTTGACTCTGTTGAATACTCCCTTCTGGAAGTTCTCTCTACCTTAGCCCTCTAGGATACTACCCTTCCTTGATTCCCTCTTCTCTCACCAAGCATTCTTTCATGGGCTCTTCTTTCTGTGTTCACCCCTTGAGTTGGTGTTTCTTAGGGTTCTGTGTTAAGCCATCTTCTCTTCTCACTCTGTGCATAATCCATAAGCAATCCCATCCGCTCTCAGAGATTCTACTCTTGTCTATATTCCAATAAGTCCATGAAATCTGCATCACCAATCCAAACCACTATCCATATTCCAACCAATATATTCTTTTTTTTTTTATTCCACAAATACTTATTGACAGATTGCTGTGTAGTAATAAATACTGGGGATACAAAGATAAGAGTCCCTGCCTTTAAGAAACAGACTAATAGCAGAGACAGCTATGTAAACAGAGTGGAGTGGTGATATACAAGAGAATATTTTAGAAACACTGAATAAGAAAACAAATGAAACTGGGAGATTTAGAGAAAGAACTTAGAAAGAAAGGATGCTTTAAAGGACATTTAAATGCTGATTAACAGTGAACATTGTTATTGATTCAAGGTTCTCTCTCACCCTTGTCTTCTCCTTCTGTTGAGAGATGGATGATCTGAGTTCCAAGGAGCGGATTAGTCTTCAGGCCTCCTCTTTCCTCACTGACCTCTGCTGGTTTCATGGTTTCTTGTGGTCTGCACCACTATATGGTGGCCTCCTCTGATATTCATGGTCCTCCCATGACTTCTAGTCTGATAACCTTCTCAGACCTTCCAGAAAGGGCTCTGAAATCTCTCAGCTGCTCTCCCTACCTCTTGCTGGGGTATGCAGAATCTTGTGAGCCCAACTTCAGATCCACTGATTCTCAGATGGCATCTTAGGGTGGGAATTTTCTGATATGCAAAGGCTTACCAGGCTCTACACAGAGATCCTTTTGTAGAATGCA